CTCCTTTGTTCCAAGACAGAAATGCCTTCAAATACACATTCTCCAGGATGAAAATACGCCCTCCAACCCCCCACCCCCACCCCACTAGCCCTCCATGAAGGAGCTACCATAAAAGATGAACCATTCTTGTGTCTGGCTGATTCACTATGCCTGAAGGTTGTCTGTAGCTAGGAGCCATCAGGCTCTATAGCCCACTGTAAAATGTAGCACACTCTCCTGAGGGCTCTTGCAGATATGGAGCATAGATTGTTCCCCTGAGTAGGGGGGGACGTTTGAGGTCAACTAACACTAGGTCAAGTTGACAACTCGCTTCATTACCTGCATATCGTTACCCGCTTATAGGATTACCAATTGACTGTGTAATATGCTCACTGGATGACGTGAGCCTCTTGAAAGATCTGTGAGCACCATTGGAAAACATATTCACTCTCTTGGTCCTGACATAGGGACAAGGAGCCGCTGCGCCTCACTGTCTATCTATCTGTCTTTATTATTTTCCATAATCACAAAGTTGCTCCTGAAGCCCCGTTCAGCTGCTGGGGCCCCGTATCCCCACAGTTGTTCATCCGGACATGGTACAAAGTTCTTTGGGGGCTGCTAATCTCCATGGGAAAGTTGGCCCCAGTATAAGGAGGACTGAAGACCCGATGACTTTGAATGATGGTGCTGGTGAAGAACATTGAAAATTACCACGGATTGACAAAAGAGCAAACAGATCTGTCCTGGAAGAAGGACAGCCACGATGTGCCCCTGAGAGGTGAGGGTGGCAAGACGTCATCTCACGTGCTTTGGACAAGTTGGCAGGAGACGCCCATCCCTGGAGAAGGACATCATGTAAAGCAGTGGAGCAGCAAAAAGGAGGACGGCTTTCCACAAGATGGGCTGGCACAGTGGCTGCATGGACAGGCTCAAACAGAAGAAAAACTGCACGGATGGCCCAGCATCGGGCGGTATTTCATTCTGTTGGACATGGGGATGCTATGAGTTGGAACAGACTTGCTGGCACCAAACAAGAACAAAGACGACCTTGAGGAGGGCATGAACTGCCGTCACTGTCTATCATGCATCGCACTACACGCTAGGCCACCGTGGCGAGACGATCCACCCACGGGTATGCGGCTGTGGGAACGGCAATCTTGAGATGCTGATTATAATACGTTCCTATGAAGCAGCCCCTAGTCTAAGCTCTTTATCATGCTAGAACAGGCAAACAACCAAGTTGCCATCAAGTCCATGTCAGCCCATGTGCTGCAGAAAATAACTGACCCCCACAGGGCGGCTTTCAAGGCTGTGTGGCCTTTTGTAGGAGATCACAGCAGGCCTTTCTGCTCAGCCGCCTCTGGATTCAAACCACCAACCTTTCCATCAGTAGCTGAGCATACCCAGGGACCATGTTACAGGTGCTATTAATATCGCTATATTACAGGTGGGACAACGGAGGCACAGAGAAGTAACTTGCTTCCACTTACAGAGGCGGCACATGGTAAAGTCATGACTCAAACCAGGCAAATGGCTCCGCAGCACCTGCACTTAGCCTCGGTGTTCCATGTCTCCTGGAAGCGTTTTTCCGTATTTTCAACTCACTGACCCAGCAGCTCTTCTTTCCGAAAGTCCTCCTAGGAAACACCAAGAACTCGACTTAATTATGAAGTAGCAACAAAAATAATGTTATGGTTGGGGGTCACCACATGAGGAACGGTATGAAAGGGTCACGGCATGAGGGAGGTTGAGCAGGAACCACTGCTGTGCATACTGCCTCATAGCTCTGGTCTTCTTGGTTTCAAGAGGGGAGTTGTCTCTGATTTAAGGGTTTGCAGGTAGTCTCTTTGGGTGCTGGCCCTCTTGCTTCCCAAGCAGCTCTGTGTGGCATCATACAATCAGTGGAGGGCCTTTAGCAACAAAGCAACAAAGGGTTTTCTATTATCTTTCTGCTCTGGCTTGTAAAGAGGCCCTTACAGTTTTTCATTCTTTCCTTTTTTAAAAAAAAATTTCAAGTATTAGAATAAGCAGAGAATCATTTTTGTACATCTCATACTTTTCTATAAAACGATTAAACAAACAAAAAAAAACTTTACTTAAGGATGTTCACTGGCACATTGTTTAAAATGACAGAGGCTAGAAACTAATACATATATTTATGGCATCGAAACAGAAACCCAACATAGTCTTCAGTGAAAAATGTCTGTTACACTACACTAAATCTGGAATGGTATACTTCATTGGGGGGAGGGGGGGTAGGATTATTAGAGAGCTTTGAATTTTGCTGTGTTACCTGAATGTTATAGGAAAATTAGGTGTTGGGGAATCTATTTAAAAGTTACAGCGTAGTGTTTTACTGGATGACATAGTTTTCAATTTTAAAATTTTTTCCAAAAAATTCTTTTTTTTTTTCCATGAAAAGATAAGCAAGTTTTATCTGAACGTCCAAAGTATCTGCCCATCAAGCAGTAAAAGGGTTTGGGGTTTCATTCCTTAGTGTTAGACCATGCACCCGTCTGTAGATTCTCACTAATACATGACGAATTCGCAGGCTCTTAACTGCAAGGTGCACTAGCTCATCACGGCACAAGCAAACTTACATCTGACATGGGTGCACATTACCCAACTCTAGGAACCAATCCAACTAACGTCTCTGGATGAGGCTATTTCAATACCGCCCTGGTTTTTGTTGTATTTTGTCTTCTATTTGAAGCATATAACAATTTAATGATTTACTAAAAATACAAAAGAGAAGTAACCAATGCCTAATTTTATTTATTTACTTTTCAATAAATTTAAATCCTTGACAGGTACAGGAACCCGTTTATAGCCAGCAAGAATGGACCTGGACCACAGTCTCCAAGACATATTTGCCTTTTCGAAGTTCTGTCCCCATCAGGCCTCTTCAGACTCCAATATGGCGGAAAAACCACCCGAGTTTTTGTTGTTATAATGCAGCTCCAGAGCTGGGCTACCAAATGCATTGGTAAATCCCACCGTTTGACCAGAGTCTTCGATTAAAACAGCACCCCCAGGAGGTGTTTAGGGAAATAACCACTCTCTTCCATATTCATTTCCCACTTGTCCTGTGTGTCACTGCATTGGTCATTAGGAACAAGGGTCATATTAGAAAAAAGCAATTTTTCTTTTTCTTAGGGTGGAAATCTAGTCCCTATGATTGTATATCCAATTAAAAGCATGGTTTATTAAAACAAACAATGGACTTCATCGAAACAAAGTAAAATTTAAGCTATACATTCCTTGAATTGTGGTACCTAGCAAATTAGTTGACTAATTATAGTTTTTAAAACTATCATCTTCTGCCTTATGAGCCTTCCTGAGGACATCGAAAGACATCCCCCTGACAGCTGGCTCCTCTGTAACTCCCCAACTGGAGTCATGAACTCAATTCACATCGTCAGAAGCTTAAAAAAAATTAGAAGCTGCTAGGTAATGCAAGGTATTTTTAACCCAAACAGGTTCCCTAAGGTATCAATGGAGGGCATCAGCCTCTTGTGAGAGGAACATGAGGCTGTCTCTCAAAACACGGTCCTTTCGCTCTGCAAGGTCACAGCCACTGCAGCAGCAGCCAGCTCTGGTCCACAGGGTCGGGATCAATCTCTGCCCAAAGCCCACCCCCGCAACACTGCAGATGGGAGGCCCGGAGGGCAGCAGTCACTCAAACCTGGGCAGACGGCCACACCACCTGGGAAGCTCACGAGATCCACACTGAGCAGACATTAATGCAGTCATGGTTTTAACATCAACCCAAAGGGCTACTCTTGAATACCTTGACTTCTTCACCTGTATAACCGGAGTAAAATCTATCTGACCTTGATCATCTTTATTGAGTTTTAAGCTTTAAGGGGTTGTCATTTTATGGTTCTGTGGGGAAAGACCTGCAATCTGATCGTCAAGATGACCACAGCCTAGAAAACCCGGGGGACCGAGCAGTTCCATCGGTTCTGTGACTCTTTGGACACATAGTGAAATCAGGGGCAAAGCCAAGAACTCAGGATCCCCGTGCAGAGAAAACCAATCTCAACGATGAAATTGCTTACAAAGGCCCTCGAATAGTCCTTTTCTACAATGTAATAAATTGGTACCAAATAGAATTCTTTTCTTAATGCTTTTTTCCTCTAAACTAATGTGCTCCCTTTTCTCTCATTTAACAATAATGTTTTTTATTGTAAAAGAACAAAGAAGGAGTTTCACACTACCTAACAGAGATACACTGCTAACATTTTTCGCTCTAGATCTTTATTTGTATTTAGGGGTCAGTTAATTTCCTGTTAAACAAAGTTGTAATCCAACTAAATATTACTTCTTACATCCTATTATCTTAGGCATGCAGTTGCATAATCACTTGCTATAGGGTAACTTATTAGCTATAACTCAGACTAAACTGAACATATAATATTTAATGGAATTACTGTCAGTTTCCTAACAGTCTCTGAAATATTTAGTTAGAGATAAACACATTAAGAATTCCAGGCTTCTAAAAACTAAACTTAATTTCTGGCAAGCGAGGCTGGTAATTACAACCAAAAGCCAAATATTGTGGAATCCTTTTTTTAGACTAAGCAATCTTACCACTCAGCATATATAACTGTTGAAACACTTTCAGCATAATGAAATCTGTTCAGCTACTGGAAACTATAAGAACCAGAGAAATATAAAAATGTTCTTCATATGAATGGCAAAGGGACAGTTCCACCTCAACAACGGAAAGCATAAGACTGTGGTCATAAATATAATACTCTACAAACACTCACAATCTACATTTTGATGTAAGCACATCAAATTACTTACACATTCTATATTAAATCATGGGTGGTAAAAATTTAAATTTTCAAAAACATACTTCGGACGTCTTGTCACCCAAGAAAGAAACGAAGTGCTCACAAAAGAAACCAATGAAATACACTTTAAAAAAACATTAAATCATTTTATCGGGGGCTTGTACAACTCTTATCACAATCCACACATACATCCATTGTGTCAAGCACTTTTGTACATTTATTTCCCTCATCATTCTCAAAACATTTGCTTTCTACTTGAGCTCTTGGTATCAGCTTCTCGTTTTTCCCCTCCCCGCTTCCCCCTTCCCCATGAACCCTTGATAATTTATAAATTATTATTTTGTCATATCTTACACCGTTCAACGTCTCTCTTCACCCACTTCTCCACTGTCCATCCCTCCAGGGAGGGGGTTATATGTAGATCCTTGTAATCGGTTCACCCTTTTTCCCCCACCTTCCTCCACCCTCCTGGTATCGCCACTCTCACTACTGGTCCTGAAGGGTTCATCTGTCCTGGATTCCCTGTGTTTCCAGTTCCTATCTGTACCAGTGTACATCCTCTGGCCCAGCCATGTTTGTAAGTTAGAATTGGGATCATGATAGTGAGGGGGGAGGAAGCATTCAAGAACTCGAGGAAAATTATGTTTCATTGTTGCTACACTGCACCCTGACTGGCTCGTCTCCTCCCCGTGACCCTTCTGCAAGAGGATGTCCAATTGCCCACAGATGGGCCCTGGGTCCCCACTCTGCATTCCCCCTCATTCACAATGATATGACTTTTTTGGTCTTTGATGCCTGATACCTGCTCCCTTCAACGTCTCGTGATCACACATGCTGGTGTGCTTCTTCCACGAGGGCTTTGTTGTTTCTCAGGTAGATGGCAGCTTGTTTATCTTCAAGCCTATAGGACCCCAGGAGCTATATCTTTTGATAACTGGGCGCCATCAGCTTTCTTCACCACATTTGCTTGTGCACCGGTTGCCTTCAGCAATCATGCCAGGAAGGTGAGCATCTCAGAATGCTCAATTGTTAGAACAAAGTGTTCTTGTGTTGAGGGAGTATTTGAGTAGGGGCCCACTGTCCATCTGTTTCCTTAATACTAAACCTATAAATATATGCACATAGATCTATTTCCCCCTTGTCATATATAAATATATTAACATCTGTATAGCCTGTATTTAGATCTCTATAAATGCCCTCTTCCTCCTAGCTCTTTCCTCTATTTCTTTGTACTTTCCTCTTGCCCCATTATCGTGTTCAGCCTTCATTTGGGTTTTAGGAATTCATCTCGGTTATTTTGTCCTTGATCCAGCCCTGCCATACCTCCTACACCCTCCCTGCTACTGATTTTGGATCACTTGTTGTTCCCTTGTCCCAGGATTTGTTAATACCCACTTCCTTTCCCCTGCCTCCCCCTCTCCCATGCAAATACCTTTTTTCGACAAATACATGGAATCTATTTACATGAAGGCAGACAATCGGGGCCCAAACAGCCAATGTGTGAAAGCTACAAAATACTCTGTCTTATATGCACTAAGAGCAAGACAACACAGTGATAAATGGGCTCCCCTAAGACCAGGAAGGGCGCCACACCACGGTGAGGTCTGGGGAGTCACGGAACGTTTGAAGGAGGGCAGTGGGGTGTGAGATGGACAGGACAGTTAAGTGTCAACTTGGCTAGCCTTCGGTGTCCAGTTGTCTGTTCCGTCAAACATTAGTCCAGATGTTGCCGGGAGGGTATTGTGTAGAGGTGCTGACTTTAGGTAAAGGAGAGTGCCCTTCCTCATGTGGACACAAATTAGTGGACGTCTTTAAGAGCCAAAACTAAAGTTTCTTGCAGAAGAAAGAATTCTGCCTCAAAACTATAATATAAAACACCAACTCCTTCCTGAGCGCTCAGTCTGCCGACCACCCTAGGAATATGACGTGCCAGCCCACGCAATCATGTGAGTCGGTTTGTTAAAGTCAAGCAACCTCAATTTTGTTCTCCTTACATTCACATCCTGCCCAACCCCACCAGTTCACTTATCTGGAGCCTCCTGAGACAATGGCTGCTTTCACCCATGACGGATCTCTGCAGGCACAGGAGGGCCGGGCTTAGGAATAGTGATCAGTAAGAAGTGTGGCAGCAGATCCGACAGAGACCATGAACAGTGAGGGGTGGATTCAGCTGAGAACGATTTAGGAGATCCCCTGGACCGCTAGAAGGACAAACAAATCTGTACTGGAAGAAGTCCAGCTGGAGGCGCCTCAAAAGGGAGGAGGCTGGTGAGACCGAGACGGCCCACACGCTTCGGACACGTTATCAGGAGAGACCAGGCCCTGGGGCGTGACGCGGTGCGTGGTAAAGGAGAGGGTGTCAGCAAGAACAGAGGAGGCTCACGGACATGGACGGGCGCAGTGGCTGCAGCAATGGCTGGGAAACGCCAACTGAGAGGCTGGCACGAGAGCAGGTAGCATTTCCTTCTGCTACCCACAGGGCAACGGTGAGGGGCAGCCAACCTGACGGCGCCCAGCCGCAGCAGATTTAGAAATTACTGCATGTGGATGGCCACGCCTTCCAAACTCGTTTTTCTCTTGCACACCTTGCCCTCATCAAGCCATCAGGAGCCAGAATTACCTTTTCACAATATAAAACAGGTCGCTGAACTCCCAGTTTAAAATCTTCCCATTGAACATTGCAAAACCAAACTCCTTACTTGGGTCTAAAAGGCAAATGTAAAAAAAAAAAATGTTTTAAAGGCAAACACACTGTATATACTTGTGTATAACCCGAGTCTTTACAGCAGCACATTTTCCATGCAGTTTTGGGGGTAAAATTAAGTGCCTCGACTGATAGGTTGGCTTATACTCAAGTATCTACGGTAATGGAGTTCTTGTCTACCACTTCATTCTGCGCTGCTCTCTGCCAGCCCCCTGGCTTTTCTTTCAATGGTGTCAACACGCCAAGCTCCTTCCTATTTTAAAGGCCGTCTCTTTAGGTCTGAAATGTCCCCCACACCCTCTTTGTCACACGGATCTGAATTTAAACATTTCCTCCTCAGACAAAACAAAAGGTGCTCTCCCTCTGACCACCACCACTTACTCTCCCCCGCAGCGCCGCTTGCTTGCACTTCAGTGTCATTTGTAAGTCCTTGATGATCATAGTTTGCTCTATCATCTGTATGTCCACAAGGACGTGGTTCAGGCTTGTCTTCTTACCATCCTGCACAGAGTAGGCGTTCAAAAAATAAATAAGCCAACAAGCACCTTACAGGAGGTAGACAGGCAACAGCCTGGAGAAGCTTAATACACAGTCAAGACACCCTAAAGAGAAAAAATAAAACATAACACACGTAATGGTTAGAACCCAACTCCAAGACCTTGCTACAAAATAAGATTATAGGGGAGACCTAATTAGGGCGGCCCGGAGCCTAACGGAGGCACCAAGGGTTCCATGTTACTCTCACTGAAGGCGGCCTATTCAAACCCACCCGGCGTCAAGCTTGGCAGTCTGCTTCCAAAACATTCCATCTGGAAAACTCTCTGGGGCCGTTTTACTCTACGCCTGGGATCGTCATGAATCAGAATCAACCTACAACTGACCACGATGGAGATGGGCAGGGCAGGCCGTTCTGAAAAACAACAACAAAAAATCACCTGATTCTTGCACTGAGAACAAGAGAAACGCGAAGGATGGTCATGTGAGGAGACGCGAGGAGACTCTTCCTGGTAAAAAGAACATAAAGGTGCTAAGGTGGGAACCTGTCTTACAGCCTAGACAGTACTGTCTATTTGAGAGTCGAGAGGAGACGGTTTACAGGTGGCTGTGCCTGAATGAGTCCATTGTCAACACCTCCCAGATTGATTTGTGTAGAAGGAACAGCATCCACTTGTTTGGTACCACCCAGAGCTGTACAAAGAGGGACTCTACTCCCTTCTTAAAGCCCTGTGACACAAGTGGAGAAATCTGGACAGCTGGCCGTCAGAGATGAGGACAGCACTGGGCAGTTCCTGGATGGGGAGACAGCAGGGTAACCCCACAGCAAACGGACACAATGAGTGGATTCCAACTCACGGGGACCCTGTAGCACAGAGAAGAACTGCCCCACGTGGTTTCTGATGCTGTAGGTCTTTACAGAAGCAGGCAAGCTCCTCTTTCTCCCCTACAGTAGCTGATGGGTTTGAACCACCAACCTTTTCAGTCAGTAACCCAGTGTTTAACCCACTGTAACACCAGGTCCCTTTCCCCTCAGAATGAAAAACACAAAAGAGAAAAGGAAATAAAGGAAAGAGCTAGGAGGTAAAGGGCATTTAGAGAGGTCTACATAAGGCATGTACATATGTAAATATATTTATATATGAGGATGTGGAAACAGATCTATGTGCATATATGTATAAATTAGTATTAAGGTAGCAGATGGACATCGGGCCTCCACTCAAGTACTCCCTCAATGCAAGCACACTTTGTTCTATTAAACTAGCATTCCATGATGCCCACCTTCCCGATATGATCACTGAAGACAAATGGGTGCATAAGCAAATGTGGCAAAGAAAGCTGATGGTGTCGGCTACTAAAAGATATAGCATCTGGGGTCTTAAAGGCTTGAAGATCAACAAGCGGCCATCTAGCTCAGAAGCAACAAAGCCCACATGGAAGCACACCAGCCTGAGCGATCACAAGGTGTCAAAGGGATCATGTATCAGGCATCATCAGAACAAAATGTCATATCATTGTGAATGAGGGGAAGTGCAGATTGGAGACCCATAGCCTATCTGTAGACAATTGGACATCCTCTTTCGGAAGGGTCCCAGGGAGGAGACAAGCCAGTCAGGGTGCAGTGTAGCAATGATGAAACATACAACTTTCTTCTAGTTCCTAAATGCTTCCTCCCCTGCCCCCCACTATCATGATCCAAACTCTACCTTGCAAGTCTGGCTAGACCAGGATGTACACTGGTACAGATAGGAACTGGAAACACAGGGAATCCAGGATGGATGATCCCTTCAGGACCAGTGGTGAGAGTGGCGATACCAGGAGGGTGGAGGGAGGGTGGGGGAGAAAGGAGGAACCGATTACAAGGATCTACATATAACCTCCTCCCTGGGAGATGGACAACAGAAAAGTGGGTGAAGGGAGACGTCGGACAGGGCAAGATATGACAAAATAATAATTTATAAATTATCAAGGGTTCATGAGGGAGAGGAGAGAGGGGAAAAATGAGGAGCTGATGCCAGGGGCTTAAGTGGAGAGCAAATGTTTTGTGAATGATGAGGGCAATGAATGTATAAATGTGCTTTACACAATTGACGTATGTATGTACTGTGGTAAGAGTTGTATGAGCCCCCAATAAAATGATTTAAAAAAAAGAAAAACACAAAAGGGTCCTTCTAACTGTCCCACCTCCAATGACCATAATAACAGTCCCTGGACTCCTCTGTTCTACGCTTTCTCGTTGAGTTTACCCACATCCAGCTGAGGGTCTGATGTTTGTATTTTGGTTGTATAATATAATATATTTGCAAAATGGCTATAATAATTAAGGACGTGATGTGGCTTCCCTCATTCACAGGAAATAAAATTGTGGAATCCTCAGAGGATTACAAAATTACATTAAAAAAAAGAAATATGTAATAAATTCTACTTCATAAAATAGGTACTCGGCAAAATTACCTTTACATATGAATAATTGCCGTAATAAACACCGATAAAGCAGGAGTAATGGTGTCATTACGAACAGCAGAGAGATTCAGGCAATGAGCAGACCACCAAGGGTCCCCAGAATCAGTCTACTTTACCATAACGGGAGGGCACCGTTATGAATAAATGAAAACCACAGGAAATGCTCGTTTTCTCCAGATTTGTATGTTTATAGGGAGGTCAACTGCTGTGGATTCCAGGAGACAATTCTTATTTCTAGGATTTGTGGATCTTGAGAGAATGGTAACTGATGAGAGCTGAAAGCAAAGGAAAGGAGATGTGCTCCATGTCAACTCGTAGCCAGCAAGGCACAGGCTTTCTCTGACTCTGCAGGTAGGTGTGGGCACCTCCACACTCACCTTCACTAGTTCAGAGTCACTATCCTGAGCCTTACAAATTTAACTCACTCCATGCCAGCCAGTCGGGTCCGCCTCATTGCCACCCTATAGGACAGCGGGTAGAACTGCCCCTTTGGGTTTCTGAGACTTGATAACAGCTTGATCATAATAGTTTGCTCTGTATATACAGTATACTGTAATCAATCCCCTGTGGAGGGAATTCCAGAGAGATAAAGCACATGGCAATTGCCCTCCAATAGACTGAGCTCGAAAGATTGTTTTCCAATGCCAATAAAGGTTGATCCTAAAGCCCACCTTATACACAGACTGATGAAACCCTCGGGCCACCCATAAAAAACACAGTTAACCCAAAGCGAATTGAACACAATGGTTCCTGGACACCACCAGGGCTGTTACAGGCTTGTGAATCTTCTTCCAAGCTACCGAGCTCCCTCATACAGCAAACTCTAGCCAAGGTGACTAAACGTTTAAGTGCAAAATCATTCAAATTAAATAGGATTAAAAATACAATTCCTCACGAGGCACATTCCAAATGTTTGATAGCCACACTGGCTAGTGGCGGGCATGTTGGACAGTGTGGAAAGAGAACATTTCCATCAGTGCTGATGGCTCTATTAGATAACCCCCCAAAAAAACCCTAACTCCCTGCCATCGAGTTGATTTACGACTCATAGCGACCCTCCCTATTGGACAGAGTAGAACAGCGCCTGTGGGATTCCCAGGCTGTACCTCTTTCTGAGAGCACAAAGCCTCATCACCCTCCCGCTCTCTTGGGTAGCACTGTTCTCTGTATGAAGGTCGGGTCCTTGCTTTTCTACAGGATCATCAGCCATAGTCTCAACATCCTCTTCCTTTCACATCAGTGCCGCCATGGTCTCTGGCATTCTCCTAGCTACAGTCTAACTTTATGGGTGCTAGTTTACAAAGGCCGCCTACAACTTGGACTGGGTAAGGTTAGCCCAGACTTGGAGTATAAAGTGTCATATTGAGAGTAGCAAAAGGATCAGGCTGTCGCTTTATCAGACATGATAAATTATACACAACTGCAAAAACACCAATTTCCTTCTGTCTCCAGTTACATGAAATCATACCAAATGCCTTTCCTTATCGCCAGCTGAAGATAGTATTTCTGCTCAAAGTATTGCTAAAACACCAAATTAAATTTCCTTGGTAATGATATGCACATAACATCTTTATCGACCTCAGTGTTCTCATTTCCCATGTAAACACAGATGTAAACACAGTATAATCTGCTTTCTACTAATGACTCTAATCAATCAAGCCGAGCGTCAAAAGGAGCTATACTCACTTTGGCATATTCCCAAACTCACAGCACTTTAAAATTTCTTGATCATAACTAAGATGGCATACCACCAAGGGGAATAAACAACATTTCTTCTATTAAATTGGCTCACTTCCTGAAATAGTCTATAAGCAGGGACAAGAAACAAGGTGATGTCGTTGCACCTGCATTTCCTGAAATCCGAGCTATGTGCTGGAACAGTCCAGCAATCACCTGGAGCACAGCACAATGGGGTCAATGATTCCCACATGGTTGGTTGTTTTCTTAGAAGGAAGTAAGCCAAACATGCCGTTGAACTCCAAAAGCAACACCAGCATTTCCCACTGTTATGACTTAGGGCAATGATGTCTATCTGCTGGAAATAACCCAAAGAACTGAAGTATTGAGATTTATTTTCACAATCACTACTACTCCTGTACACAGTATTTATTCAACAAATACTCACTAAGCATCTACATCCGTAAGTATGTAGATAATGCAGTCTGCAAAATGAACTGGGACATAACTACATAAACCATATGAATTAATGGACTTTGGCTTCACACTTCATCCTAGCCCTAATCTATGCACAATTAGTATTCTGACATGGTCCTACTCTATAATGGGCCTCATGGAGAGATCACTGAAGATATGGTGCTAGAGCAAAGTATGGTGAAGAAATCAGATTGTGCCCAACTATCAGATAGAATAGTGCCTAGGGTTCAAAAGCTTGTCTCAAAACAAGCAGCCATCTAAGTAAGGCATCAACTAGGTCTACATGGAAGAAGCACACCAGCCTGTGTGAGCCAAGGATTATATATGATAAAATCCAAATCTGGA